ACCCTAAAACCTAAACCCTAAAGGCCCTAACCTAAACCCAAAAGGCCCATGAAACCCTAAACCGAAAACCCCAGAACACAAAAAACCTGGGTTTGGGATGCAGGGTCGGGGTGCGCACGAAAGCCCGTCTTCCAGGGGGGCTGGGGCGACGCGAAAAGTTTCGGTTAATGCCTTCAGGGCTTTAGGCTTTGGGGGTTTAGGGCTTTAGGCTTTAGGGTTCAGGGTTTGGGATTTAGGGTGCAGGGTTTAGGGCTTAGGCTTTGGGGTTTGCGCTTTAGGGTTCAAGGGTTTTAGGCTTTGGGGCTTAGGGTTCAAGGCGCCCTAAACCCTAAACCCTAAAACCTAAACCCTAAACCGTATTAAAGACCCTAAACCCCTAAACCCTGAACCCCTAAACCCCTTATTTAGGGGTTTAGAGTTTAGGGTTAAAGGGTTTAGGGTTTAGGGATACGGGAGCATGTGAACGTCCACGCGGCCTGCATGCCAGTGATTTAAGGGCCTGAATAATTTCCAGCGCTATTCCTGAGGGCTCCTGCATATGACTATGCTAATACTATTCCCCAGAGCTCTATTCTACTTTCTATGGCCCGTGCATCATCAAAGAACCCTCACAAAAGCCTTATGATTAGTAATTAACCGTAGTAGCCCCTACAGAACCCTGGAACAGAACCCTATTCTCACTGTCCAAGCCCTTTCTTATCCCCAAAGCCCAGTCAGCTCCTGGCTACCGGGGCGGTTTAGGGTTTAGGGTTTAGGGTTTAGGGTTTAGGGCTCACGGCTTCTGAGCTTGAGGCTTGGCTGCCTTCGAGGGCGCCTTTTCCCCGAAAGAACGGGGAGTGAAACTGCACGCTCAGACAACGGCATTTGGCCTGCAAAGGCAGATAGGATTTGGGATTACGATCTCAACCCATAGCCGTAGACCCTAAACCCGAAACCCTAAATAAACCCATAAACCCTAAACCCTAAACCCCCAAACCCCTAAACCCTCAGCCCCCAAATCCTAAACCCTCAACCCTAAACCCCGAAATCCTAACCCTAAACCCTCAACCCCCAAACCCTAAACCCCTAAACCCGAAGCCCACCACCCCCCAAAAGAGCCTCTGCCGTTCGTCCCCTTTAGCGTTGCCCCAAAGCCGAAGGTTTAGGGCTTAGGGCTCGAAACCCCGGAGCCTTAGAGGCTGAAGTGTGGGATCCATAGGGCCTTTTGGGGTAAAGGCTTGAAGGTTCCTTCTAGGGCTCCCACGGTTAAGGGTTTAGGGTTTAGGGGTCTAGGGTTTAGGGTTTAGGAAGCTTA